ACGGTGTCGACATAAAAGTGGAATGTATATTTTTAGTAGCTCAGCTTATTGGAGAGTATATTGAGTTTATTTATTATATTGATGTAGTTTATATTTCGTTTTTTCACATCGGTGTATTGTATGGTAATAGGGTATTTGTAGTTCTTTAGAAACTCCTTCTTTTTTTGTTGTCCACATAATGCACGCGCTTGATACGCGGTGGTTTGGCTGCTGCAGCTCTTTACTATTAAAATTTCCCTCCCTTTATAACTGTTAATCCTATTTCCCTCCCATTATCACTGCTAATCCTACATAATATACTAGCATAATGACTTTGAGACCCCCACCACCTACACATTCCACAAGTAGTGACTAATCCCATATCTGCATTTGTCATTAATATGCTAAATTCCTCTGTTGATATGTAAACTCCTTTGTCAAGGCTCTCTCCTCCGACCCATTTTAAAAATACGCTGCCAAACTTAGCAGTGTTCATTAGGATGCTGTGTTTCCGACAGCCCTGTTCTGAGGACGGTTGCTTGTGTTGTGGCCGAAACGTCGTGAGAATTTTATCTTATTATGTTTTATTTTTATTATTTTCTTATCTCCCTTCTACGTCACTTTACCAAAAGAACCAAGAATATGAATCTATGCAATCACGAAAGCTTTAAATCGAAATATATAAGCCTTGGCTAGGCCCCGTGAACATTGTGGAGGTTAAGAGCTCACAAAGTGTCCGCATCCAGTTCGACTTAAACCTTTTTGTCTGCCTAACAGCGTCCCTTCATCTCTACTACCTGAGGACTGTGTTTCGGGTGCGCCCGACGAGCTGGGGCGAGTACCAGCGGATGTGGTACCTCAGGGGACTTCTCCTCCTTCTCCCGCAGGACTCCAGCACCTAGAATCCTTGGAGCAGCCAGTTGCACCAGCCGGAAGTGGCTCAAGGAGAGAGGAGCGACCGGCCTCTGCCCCTTCTTCTCTGGCCGGACCTCCTTCTTCTTCTTCTTCTCAGGAAGGGCCGGGGCCGTTAGGCCATCTTCAACCGGTCCCTGGGTCTCCTCACCCCCTCTGGTGGCCCCATTGACGAGGACCCGCTCAAAAACTGCCCGTTTTAAAATACTCTTGTCCTGCACGCCAGGATTGTCCACGCACCATCTGGTTGTGGTCTCACTCGCGAGCTGGGGGGGTCATTGGCTGACCCGGGCTCTTTCTGTGCTCGCGGGTGTGGGATTGTGCAGGCTGCCGAGAGAACGGGTCAGAACTTGTATATACCTATCTTCCCTTCTCTTTCCCCCCTCATGGACTATGTATAGCGTGTTGGGGTTGTTGTTCCAGCGCAGGTTGTTATTTGTTAATTGTTGATTTGTTGTTTTGATTTAAAATTGGAGGCCACACTTTTGGTAATTAAGAAATAATGATTAGCCGGGACGGCTGTATTTTATGAAGGTGGGGGGTAGTGTAGTGACATAAATACGCTCACTATAGTGTTAGCGCCAGCCACTATTACAGGAGTGCTGCCGAGCGCCGGGGACCTCCCAAGGGGTCTCGAGGGACATGTGATAGGGAGCCAGGAGCTGCTAACTTGATACAGGAGGTGGCGTGGCCGAGAGCGGGGCGAGGCCGCGGCCAGGGAAATAAAGGGGGAGACCCGACGGGGATCAGGGCTCGTTTGTGGGGATCGTCCTGGGGTCCCAGTCTCTTCGCTCTTCGTTCTTCACTCTTCATTCGCCGGGTTGAGTCTTACCTCTAAATCGTGGGTCAGGCAGCGTGTGTGCTGAATGGCCCGTTCATGATAGTTAACCTCTACGCACATAGCGAACAGTTTAGTAAAACCTATTTACAGAACCCGAAGTGGTTAGAGAAGTTGTTAATAAATGTGTTGCCTCCAACTCTAGTGTGTGCGCCTCTGTACGTCACACTACAATTATATAGGCGTTGTTTTTGAAACCAATTGGCCTTATTGCCAGAAAGGGTAAAAGCCTATTATTTTTTTCTTCATAATTTTGATAATACTGGAAAAAAAGGTCCCACGTAATACTGTATATGTTTTAGTTGGCCAAGTGACTGAGACAGAGAATTGCCGTGTCAGAGCACTCAGCCAGAAGTTTCGTTTCTAGGTTTTAGCCACTCACGATGAAAGCAAGTTTTAAAATGCAACACATTTTTAGTTAATATTGCATATAAACCCAACTATATCTTAAGACACCGTGCATTAAGTATTTATTTTATAAAGAGAAAAGTGAAAGCAAATTTCGTGAAAACACTTAGGTCTTAAATAGAGGCAGGAAGTCGACGTTATGGATGTCTGAGGAAGTCTGAGGAAATGCAGTTGTAGTCTATGGGAGTAGCAGAGAGACTTTACAAAAAAGCATTGGTTTCTGAAACAATGAGTACACAGAATGGGATGAAGTGAGATTAGAGGGGAGAGGGAAGAGAGTGCACATACAGGAGAACAGTGGAATGACAGGGGAGAAACAGGATAATTTTCTGATGTCTTGAATTCTTGTTCCCCTGGCCTTGCTGCAGTTGCCAGTTGGCGGTCAGGTCTTGTGTGGAACGGAACCAATCAGGCCTGGCTATGGGTCCTCTCGGATGGGAGACCCGGGGGGAGGGGGGTGGTGGGCAGTAGATCATGATAGTGATTCAACACTCAGGAAAATTACCTTTGGTGGGCCAAAGGGACATTGGTGGTACAGGGTCCATCTCAGAATTCCCTGTCATGGTGGCCCAAGAACTCCACCCAATCCACCTAGGGAACTGTAGCTTTACACAGTTCATGGGTTTAGAGGAATTACCTATACTCGTTGGTTCTTTCGGTAAAATCACGTAGGTATGTTGATGGGAGAGATTAGGCAGAAATATTAGGGGGATTAGCAAGTTAATGTCATGTCTATGTGTAACACAAGCTGCGGCGCTGCCAACTGCGCTGTGAGAAGCAAACGCAAGAGAACCACCGGAACGGTGGTCGCACCATTGAGACACACAGCCCATCACATAGCCAAAACCATCGATACATCGAGGCTAAGAGAGCAGAGGTGGCCATGTTAGTGAGACCCCAGCCCGTTAATGCAGAGGCACCCAACAAGGCAATGCAACTTGGAGAGTCGGAGATAACAGCCAAACGGCAGGGAAAAATGGAAGCACCACAGCAAGTTACGACCTTGCTTGGTTAATAACGTCCTTCCAATGATTGCTCAGCTTATACCCATCTTCTCGGTTGAAATTGTCTCTGTTTAAATATCTGGATGGCTTCATGGACGAATCTTTGATGGTAGCCCGAAGGTTTGCAGAGTACCTTGGTCTCGGAAAAAACAATACCGTGCGAGCCCAATGCGTTATAACAATTATCAGCCACGGCAGAGGTATTGGTTCTGCCGTGTTTCAAATCTGCCTTGTGTTCGCGAACATGGTCCGAGACATATCGTTTCATTTCCCCAATGTAACTGCTGCCGCAGACACAACTTAGTTTGTAGACATCAGGGTATTGCATGTCAGGCATGACATCTTTCACAGATGGGATCACATCACGGATTTTGTGTACTGTATTGAATTGGTCCTGGATCTTGTGTTTGTTTAAGATTTTGGAAATCTTTTGGAAACACCTGCTATGTATGGCAAGGTAATGGTTTTGATTGGGTCCTCAGATGGTTGTCTCCCCATGGTTGTGGATACAGCTTTGCGGATTGTGTGGTCTGAATATCCATTCATCTTGAGGGCTTGGTGTATGTTCTCTAGTTCACTAGCTAGGTGGCGCTGGTCGGAGATGCAGCGGGCCCTATGGTGTAGTGTTTTGATGAGGGAGTTCTTCTTGGCCGGATGGTGGTGGGAATCAGGCTTTAGATAGGAATCCGTGTGGGAGGCTTTCTTGTAGACGGAATGTCCCAACGAGCCATCAGTCCTCTTCTCGATCAATACATCCAGGAATGATAGCTTGCCGTCATTTTCCACTTCCATGGTGAATTTGATGTATGGGTGTGGAATTGATGTAGTTTAAAAATTAGTTCAGTGCTGGCTGGCCATGTGGCCAGATGACGAAAGTGTCATATACGTATCTTTTCCACAGGGAAGGACGTAGGATGGATGTCAGGATAGAATTACCTATCCAGAATTTCCACCAATTCAGCATAAAAGCTGAAGTGTGGAGCCAAACTATGTACGAATTAATAAATAAGCAGACGATACACTGCCTTCCCATTATACTTGTCTCACTGGATAAAACATTAAAGGGTATGTTATGCATCTCATCAGCCATATGGTTTGGGAATAGCCGTATGGCCAATGGATGTGTACAGACATCCTTTAATGTTTTTACGTGCAGAGACAGGCGGCATATTTTATGTGTATTTATTTTATGAGTTATATTCTCCACAACTATGCTAATGATTAATTTGTGTTATGTACCATTCATTCGTTCATCACGCATAGTCAGCGAAGAAGCATTGCGCCAAACGTGTGCCCTCTCGCAACAGCATTCGCATGAACTATTCTTGGCTGCCATACACTGGCGTCTCGAGTGATTTGTTTGATCAATGGATCGCAGTCCACTTCGAACGTCCACCGCCAACTGAAGTACGCTATTTGCTGTTGGAGTTTGCGCATCAATACAAGGTTACGTGTCCACAAAGTGATAGCCGTCTCCCTCGAACTGAGCTCTTGATCGCTAGGAGACCGGTCACATATTTCTGATGAAGTTGAACCATCGGATGCCAAGAAGGCTTCGCGTGTGGAAGGACTGCAGCTGATCTAAATCAGCTTGAAGCATTGTCCAGGCCTCCGCACCGTACAGCAACAAAACTGACAAAACACAGCACTAGTCAACTCTCAATCTGGTGCCCAGACTTAAACTTTTCTAGGATCAAATGCGATTCAAATCGCATTTGCTATACATTAATTGGGCTAATAAACTCTCAAACCTTAATTTGTGTGCCAAGTAAGCAAACGTTTAACCAGCCATAGGAGCTCCATGCAATAAAACTGTGATTTCCCTCACAACGTTAGGTTTCCGTGTATGTTGAACGCACTCAGCTCACAGTTGTTCCCTTCAAAGCCATTTGGGCAAATGCACGTGTACATCTTGACACCATCCTTGCAGATACCATTATTGAGGCACTGATTTGGATCACACTGGTTTCCATCTGCAGTGAAAGAAAACATTTCAATTCTCAGAGTAATTCTCAGACAGTTGCATTATATTGTGTACAACAATTACATTGAATAGCATTGTTTGTTGAATTATGGAAATGTTTCTGGTATAAAGGTAAATTTCTCCAGTATAAATAAATGAAGGGCAGTGGTCAGTATATCGATTAGGCATTTCATATAGTGGAATATATTCAGGGTCAGTTGATTATTCCTACAACGTGTTAATTAATTACTATGAAGTGTGCTACAATGTAAAAAAATTAACCCGTAAAAACAAAGTGTTTCACTATAAATCCTTTATATGCGTGGCATCGGTTTTATTTTATTATTCATTTCTGTTTTTCTTGAGTAAGAGTTTCATTTTTATCACATTGGTATTTGAAATAAAATATGAATTTTTTTTTTCCTAAAAAGTGGAAAATTTTGGAAACAAATTTTCACGAAAATAAATTGTCACGCACAACGAGTCTGTGTGCAAAATGTCAGCTCGATTGGATCACGGGAAGTGGGTCAAAAAACGACCGAAAGATTTGCACGGTCGAAAGCGCGCAAGCAAGTGAACTTAATATAAAGGATTTAAAAATGAACCCGTAAAAACAAAGTTTTTCACTATACTGTAAATCCTTTATATGCGTGGCGGCTAGAGTCCTCTCGTCCTCTGGCTTGAGATGGCTGCCACCTATGGGTCAGATGATTGCCTGCCACCATTAAGCAATTGGTAATTATATATAAAAAAAAATCCTAAAAAGTGTAACATTTTGGGAAAAAAATTTCACGAAAATACATTGTCACGCACAACGAGTCTGTGTGCAAAATGTCAGCTCGATTGGATCACGGGAAGTGGGTCAAAAAACGACCGAAAGATTTGCACGGTCGTAAGCGCGCAAGCAAGCAAGCAAGTGAACTTAATATAAAGGATTTAAAAATAAATTTTCACCCCTTAATGGAAGGTTTTTTTTGGGAGTTGGATAACTCTTCGTTAGATGTATTATTTGTAGTCTGTTCCTGAATCTTTATTATCGGTTGTTTCTTAATTTTATTTTGCCAATACATGTGAAATGGTCAATCTAAATTATATATTCTACCTTCAAATAGTCGATTAAATATCTGTTGAGCCAGCTTAAAGGCTTAAGTTAGTTTTTATATTTTCAATGTCTTATTAATTTCTTTCATTTCCGAATATGTTTTTTTCAAATACATGTTTTGTATTTAATTAGCGTATATCGTCATGTATTATCTAGGCATTGCAGTTATCTAGGTAGGCTGCTGTGCAAAAATCGCAGCTGGTTGTGAAGTCATCCACATGAAGGCGATTCAGTGGCATTCAACCAAGTTGTGCCACTGATCGCTCACGTGTGGCCCTGTTCTTAATCCCAGTGCACGCAGAGATATTACTTCAAGGGACACACAGAACATCATTGGGCAGATTATTGTGCTAAGGTTGTCCATGTGCCGATCAACTCATTGACGCAGCAATGCAGAGCCTCAACCTTGTCTCTACTGCGTCAGGTGCTGTAACTTTCTGACCCGTCCCTACTGGACAGAGTTATTCTGTCCCTATCAACGTGCAGTGTTGAGGTCAGCTGATAGTCATGACCCTGGCTCTGCATTCCCGGGGTCAGGCTGAAGAGGCGAGGGGGAGAGGTGAGGAGGCGAGGAGGAGAGGTGGAGAGGAGGAGAGGTGAGGAGGAGAAGGGGAGAAGTGAGAGGAGGTGATGAGGAGAGGCGAGGAGGAGAGGAGGCGAGGGGTGAGGAGAGACGAGGAGAGGTGAGGAGGAGAGGAGGCGAGGTGGAGGAGGAGAGGTGGAGAGGAGATGTGAGGTGAGGAGGAGATGAGGCGAGGGGGAGAGGTGAGGAGGCGAGGAGGCGAAACGAGGGGGAGAGGTAAGGAGGCGAGGAGGAGAGGCGAGGAGGTGGCTTTTGGTGTTATAACTTCGCGGCTTTGCAGCTCTGCCCCATCGCGCCAAAAGTTCGCCCACACTGTATGTACTGTACTTTGAACTTCTTTCTTACTGTACGTAGCCAAACGTGCTAATCGGAGATGGTTACTTTTAAATGAAGTCTTTTCGATGTATTTCTAAAATTTAGCCTCCTAATTTTATTCTGACATCTAATTATTATTTTACTGTTGTATAAAGAAAATTGTTACTTTCACATACTTTTTACATTATTTCATGAGTCGTTTAACATTTGTCCTTGTACAGTGAGGGAAAAAAGTATTTGATCCCCTGCTGATTTTGTACGTTTGCCCACTGACAAAGAAAGGATCACTATGAGACCTCCTTTACCAGTGGCAAAATATAGTAGTAGGTTTTTACCCTTTAAACTGGTACAAAACTGACACCTTTATACAAGGCATCATGTTTGCAATAACCACAACACAAGCAGTCAAAATGCAAACAAAAAGAAACAACTCTGATAATGATAATAATATGCACTGTCCTTGAAGTTGATTGACTGCTTGTGTTGTGGTTATTGCAAACATGATGCCTTGTATAAAGGTGTCAGTTTTGTACCAGTTTAAAGGGTAAAAACCTACTACTATATTTTTCCACTGGTAAAGGAGGTCTCATAGTGTAAATGCTTACCCCGAGCTCTCAATACTCTGATAGTGCGCTGTTTTTGAGTTGTACGCCTTTTGGCGTCATCTGGTCCAACACCAATGGAGGCTAGGCTCTCAGGAAAGGTGTCTCGGGTGTGGACCAATCAACTTCAAGAACAGTGCATATTATTATCATTATCAGAGTTGTTTCTTTTTGTTTGCATTTTGACTGCTTGTATTGTGGTTATTGCAAACATGATGCCTTGTATAAAGGTGTCAGTTTTGTACCAGTTTAAAGGGTAAAAACATACTACTACAAAGAAATGATCAGTCTATAATTTTAATGGTAGGTTTATTTGAACAATGAGAGACAGAATAAGAACAAATAAAATCCAGAAAAACGCATGTCAAAAATGTTATAATTGATTTGCATTTTAATGAGGGAAATAAGTATTTAACCCCCTCTCAAAAAAAAGATTTCTGGTTTCCAGGTGTCTTTTATACAGGTAACGAGCTGAGATTAGGAGCAGACTCTTAAAGGGAGTGCTCCTAATCTCAGCGTGTTACCTATGTAGGGGTTATTACGGGAGAAACGGCGGACAAGAAACACAGGGGTGTCGGTAACCGCACACACGGGTGGCCACACCGACGTCCGCACCCATTAACCACTGGGATCCCCCATTACCCCGCCCCTCCGAGGGGATCGCTATAAAAGGCGGGGAGCCAGAGAGCTCGGGGCCATTTCGACACGAAGCTGACCAGTGAAGACTGAAGAGTCGGAGATTAGGCCCTGGGACTCCCCGGTCTCGCTGCCCTTGTTAGGGCCGAGCTGGGAAAGCCAGCGGCGCGGCCCAAGAGCTCCCGGACCTCTGCCCTTGTAAGGGCAGGGCCGGCTTAGCTGGTGCCGAGATCTGTGCTTACCAGGGCCAGATCAAGATAGCCTCCCGTAGCCCAGTAGAGGTGGACTGGGGAGCAGGACAGAGGGCGTAGTACTAGGGTGGTTTCCCAGATAGTACGGGTGAAGGGGCCGTTACCCCTTCAACTATTGTGTCTGTCCCTGGTTTAATAAAGAGCGTGCCTCAACTCCGGCGTCCGCATCCCTGCTACTCACTACATCTGGCGTCAGGAGTGGTCCAAGACATGGATACAAGACGGACGACTCGTACCTAAGACCCCGGAGAGGACAACGACGAGGGAGAGGCGGTGCAAGACATCACCACCGATGTACCTGCACAACCGATGCCGGCTCCAACACTTGCGGGGCAGCCGGAGAGGGTCGGGACGTCGGCTGAGGAGTTGGCGATAGCCCACTCCCGACTGGCGGAGCTCCTGTATGCAGCGGCCGCCATGCTGGAGCAAATTACTCGCCTGGGGCCGGGGGGAGCGGCGCGGCGAGAAGACGGACAGCGCCCGCCAGAAACTCCCGCCTCTACGATGGCCCAAAGATTTGAAATTCCCGCCACGGGTACAGTAGGAGCTGAGGGAGGGGTCCCAGCTCGTCACGCAGGTGGCGGGGCCCAACCAGCAAGCGCCACGTCATCGGCGGAGGCGGGTCGCAGTGGCTGCCTATCAGCAGTCGCCAGGTCATCATCTGCAGACGACAGCACCGACCAAGCTGAACCCAGCGCGTCACCATCGGTGCGACCTCCATTAGGGTCTGCCATTGCTCAGCATACTGTCCATGGACACGGTACGAGTACTGGGAGATCATCGGAGACGGAGCCGACATTTCAGCAACGCCTGCCGGCCCTGCAGGTCTTTTCATCGAGCGGCGGCGATTGGGGTGGGTTCCAGCGACGTTTCCTCGCCCACCAAGAAATGGCTGGGTGGACGGACAACGAGGCGCTGTGTGCTCTCCCGGCGATGCTGGATGGCGACGCCCTGGGCACCCTCACCGCTGCACCCAAGTCGGCACGCTCCACGCTTCAGTCGGCGCTGCAGGTGCTGGCCACGGTTTATGGGCCGCCTTCCGATTGTCGCCAGCTTTTCTACGAGCGGCAGAAGGGCGACAAGGAGTCACCACTCACGTACCGCATGGCCCTGCTGTCGCTGGCAAAGGCGGCCTTCCCGCGCATGGATGAGGAGGGGATCGACGCGATGGTGGCCGAGAAAATTTTGCTGCTGGCCGACGACTTGAACTTCGTCATCCTGGCACAGGATGATGCGGACATGTCGTCACTACGGGCTGCAAGGAACATTCATGCCAATCTACTTTCCCAGCGGAGGAAGGCTAACAAGGCAGCTGCGGGACACACCGTGGCGGCGACCACCTCTGACTCTGAGGGGGGCTTTGCTGCGGGCCGTTCTGCGGGATGGCGGTCTGGCGGGCGACTGGCTCGGGTCATACACTATCTGGCCCGGTGTTGGTCTCCTCCTCGCTGGCAATCCCGTGCCTGTTGGGGACAGACTTTTTGGCCAAATTACCTATCAAAATTTTGATTGACCAGGGAT